TCACTGTGGTCTCTATGATCACCAAGGCTACCATGACCCCCAGAGAAAGGAGGCAACCAAGTCAACCAAGGCCACCACTGCCACTTTCCCTGGGGGAAAAACAGAAGAGGAAAAGAAGATAAAAAGAAAATCCTGCCTACTCCCCACCCGCCAATATTTCATTCAATGCCCTTTACTTCTTTGGAGATTCGTTTATTTGCATTCTTGCCCAACTCCTGTGAATTCCCACATATTCAGGACTTAAACCAAACCAAACTCTATTTCTGCATCCCAATTAATTCAACCTAGAAAGGAATAAGAGGAATGTTTCTTTACAAATAGATTGTGTGAATCTGGTGGTGGATAAGGCCTGGGACTTGTAGAGAAGGAAATGACTGGAGAAGTTATCAGTTTCAGAAAATGTTCTTCATTGACATGGACTACGGCTCAGACAACGTCCTGTGAAATTCCTGAATTTCAAGAAGAAGACCAAAAAAATAACAGGCTTATGAATAATGATTTCCCTGCCCAGGGTGAAGCTTACAGCTCATTTTAATGGTCATGTGTCTGCATTACAGAAGGCCTGGGTGCATAGCAAGGGGAACATTCAGTAGGTGGATTGGGAAGCGTGCACATTCTGAATACATCAGGCAATGGGTAAAGGGAGTGGGAGATATGGCCAGGAAATTGGGATAAAATGGAGGCTGCATCATCCAGCAATTTGAGAGACCTCATGAGGGAATTCCTCACGGCCTCTTCCTTTTTTCATGAATAAAATTACATGGCACTTCTGTCTCCTTTATGCAAGTAAACCTCTGGCAAGGTGAATGTTTCTGACCTAATGTTCAATAGCAAAAATGTTGTTCCACTTGAATCCTAAGCGATATGCTTAGCTGCAACCAGAGTCTCATCCACAAAATGGTGGCTCTGCCTTTTATACCCCTGGTGTTGCATCAGTCAAATGCACATTCATAAGCAGTCATAGATATTCAAATATTTTCCTTCTATATCCCTGGCCCCATTCAAAGTCTGACAGATGACTCCTCCTTGTTGTTCATTGGTGGAGACCTTCCTGCAGTTTGATTGGATGTGAGGTGATGCACGTCTTGCCTCCCCAGTAACAGGCTTTGCCCTTACCCAACGGCTGTATGCAAGGGGCACAGGTACACGTCCTCCATCCAGATGTTCCTGACATCCCTGATAACCTGGGCCATCTGGTGGCAACAATAAAGAAGGGGGAAAGGAGACTCAGGGAAGAAAAGAGGTTGTCCGAAAAACAAACCACAATAAGGTAACTATAAAAAACAAAACTTTTCTGAATGTACAAACAATATTCATCCCTTAATTTTGAGAGCCAATCATCATGCTATCCATCTATAACAAAGCTGTGCCTCCCCTACTCCTGGAAGGGTTCAAGGCCAGGGTGGGCACTGCCTGGAGCAGCCCAACCCAGGGGAAGATGTCTCTGACTATAACAGAGCTGGCACCGGACGGGCTTTAAGGTTGCTCCATCCCAAACCATTGCAGAGCCCCCGGGGCCATGATGGGGCTGAGCGGGCGCTCGGCAGCGCCAGCAGCTCGTGCTGCCGCTTGCTGTTGGCACCCGGAACTGCAGCTGGGGGCGTCGCATGTGCAGCGCCACTGATTTCCCATGCTCGCTGCTGCTCTCTGGTGGACAATTCCCAAACCACAACTGCCAGAATCACCAAATTTCACAATGGGTGAGGCTGGAAGGACCCAGAATGGGCACCTGGCCCAACCTCCCAGCTCAGGCAGCATCATCTCTGAGCACAGGATTGGGTCCAAAGCAGCCCAGATCTGGACACAGCACTCCCGATGTGCCTCCCTGGTGTGCTGGTTTGACCAGGAAGTAGGAATTCTGGGATGCTGTGGTCAAACCAATGGGTGCTCAGATTTTGACATGGGCACCTGATGTGACCAGTGGGGTTTGGACACACCTCTGAGAACACACAGGGGTTAAAAACCAGAGCTTTGTCCCTGGATTTTCTCTTGGGACTTTGAGGCAAAGAGGTTGGATCTCCCTGCCCCGTCCAGCTGCTGCTGCTGGGTGGGGGAGGGGCAGCCATGTGGTAGGCCTGGGGCTGGACAGAGATGGTGGGGTGAGGAAGCCCTTGAGGATGGAAGGGTGGAAGAGCACCAATAGACATTGGGCAGCCACACCACCCCCCCTCCGCCCCAGGAGAGGGAGAGGGAGAGCCAGCGACAGAATGTGATAGCAGCCAGCCAAGGAGGAGAAAGGGGGGGTGCGGCGAGAAGGTGCCCTGCACAGCAGCGTGGGAGTTCCGGAGCGCTGGGACAGGCAGAGACTGAAATATTTAACCCTTTTCTTACATGATTGGGACCTTGCAAAATGCTGATCCTCCTGGAGCTGAATAAGAAGACAGATAAGAGATGAGATAACAAGGACTAGGCCCGAGGGAAGTGGAGAAGACTGGCTGAGTGGGGAGAGAGATGATGGAGTGGCCTTCTGGCTGGACTTTTCTTGTGTGGCCATAGACTGAACCAGGTTTTTTTTCCTGTGTCACAGAGACTGCATTTAGGGGGAGGCAGTGCCTCAGAACCGGGAGGGTTCATTGTGGGGACCCCTCGGCCCCAGGCGGTGGAAAAAAAAGGGGGGGACAGATGTCCCAAAGCAGAGACTGTGACTTTTTTGGAGTGAGACAAGGCATCCTTAAAAGACAACCTTAAAAGCAGCTCTGGTCCATGCACAGTGGTGAGAGCACTGGGCACGGAAGGAAGATTTCACGATGGCAAAAGGACTTTCCAGGTGGTGCTGAGTGGCATGGAAGCACACGAGGTTTCAGTGTGTTTCCAGGGGAAGCCTATGGTGCAAGAAGGACTCCTATCCTCTTCATTAACTGAAGATTGAGTATTCTAAAGGGTGGTGCCAGACTGAGAGTTGGTGATTTGGGGGAATGTATTGCATTGGGAAATTTGGGGAGGGGGGAGGAGGAAGGTGCTTTTGTAAGGTTTTCATTTTTTTTTCCTTATAGTTTTTTCCCCTCTTCTTTTCTTTTAGTTTAGTTAATAAAGTTTTCTTTATTTCTAAGCTGCAGCCTGCTTTGCTTATTCCTGGTCACATCTCACAGCAGACACCAGGGAGAGGGTATTCTCATGGGGGCACTGGTTCTGTGCCGGGCCGAAACCATAACACCTGGGCAGGGCAGAGGGGCACGATCACTTCCTGACCTCCTTGCCCAACACCTTCTGATGCTCCCTAGATCCTTCCTGGCCCCTGGACACAAAGCCAATTCCCCTGGTCACCCACCAGCACTCCCAGGTCCTTCTTCAGTACTGCTCCAGTAGGTTGTCCCCATCTGGGACTAACACTGGGGACTGTCTGTCCCCAGGGACAGGACCTGCCCTTACACTCTTGAATCTCCCGATTTCCAGCCTTTAAGTTCTCTCTGAACTGCAGGATGGAGCAAGATGCTTTGCCTGGAATGTGCCCTAGGGACAATGCCCCATTTGTGGCCATCAGGGCTGCACTGAGAGGGGTCTGGTGCAGATTTTGGTGCTGAATTGGGCTAAAGCCAGCCAAAATCACCAACTCCAAATTGACAACTGAGGCCTCAGAGTTGAGCCTGTCCATCTATCATCTGACCCTGGGAACATCTAATCCCCTCTCTGACAAGGGTTCCTCTCCCCTATTCCTGCTTCCAATGAAATGTGTCTGAGTTTCCTCCCTCGGGAAGGGGATGCTCGCCAAGGATCCTCCTTGACCTTGAGAGAAAGAGACACTCCCATGAGTGTTGGTGTGGGGAGTGACATCAAGCCCTGATTAAGAATTGTCACTTTTATGTAATGGAATTGTTTTGATCAAATTATTTAATGGAATTGTTTTGAAAGACTAATTTAATAGCATTGCTTTGCACAATGGCTTTGGTGGACACAGGGGTCACAGTGGCTGTGGTAGCCTTGTGGCTGAGGGTGTCTTGGTGATCATGTTGGCCACGGTTGCCACAGCGACCACAGTGACCACAGTGACCTCAGTGGCCTTGGTGGCCTCATGGCTCAGAGGATGCTGATGGCCCCTGCCAGGGCTGTAGCGGCCAAGAGGAGTCCTCTGTAGTGGAAGGGGCCCTGTGGATGGTGCCACCTGGGGGAAAAAAGGGGCATTATGGAAGACCATATAGGAGTGAGGGGGTTGGGAACAGCCATAATGGATGGTTAGGAGTGGCAGGAGACATGGGGGCCATGAGGTAACAGATGATAGGATGTTTTGGGTGGGGGGTGGTATGAAGGGTAGAGGGGCTAGGTAGGTCAGTGGGGTCATGGTGGGCTTAGGGATGACAGGGGTCAGGGGGAGTCAGGGGGTACCATGAGGGGTGACAGTGGGTGACAGGGGTTCAGGGAGAACCAAGGAGGGTCATTGCCCACCTATGTCCAGCACATGGGGCCCATCCCAACAAAACTGTTTTGGTGGAGTAGGACAGGTTCGGTATAGGCAGGGCCCAGTCTCTGTCATCCCCTGGCAAGGGTGTTCCTGTCCCCTCCCAGAGGTGGGGGTCCCCCCTCCCTCTGCCCTGTCATGGACATTCTTGCTCCCATCCCCACAATTGGTGTCCCCAGACTTGGTCTTCCACCACTGGATGTCCCTGACACCAAAATCTCAGTAAGTGTCCCCACAGGTGGCAGGGAGTGTTCTCACCCCCTGTGTCCTATCGCGTGTGTCCCCTGTCCCCATGTTGGATGCTCCCAGCACTGGGTGTCTCTGTCCTGGTACCTCACTGTGGGTCTCCTTGTCCTGCCCACACACAGTGGTTGACCGTGTCACCATTCCCCCTGTATCATATCATATCATATCATATCATGGGTGTCCCCAAGGCCACAGTGCATGTCCCCATCACCCCAGGCTGTCCCCTGTGCTATCAGCTCACAGCCACGGGCAGTTGTGTTTTGCTGAAGGTCCCGGTGGACCGGAGACTGATCTATGCCTTCTTCCCATTCCGGGTGATTTTGGTCACCTTAAAGGTTTCGTATGGCGGGATCAGCACCTCTCAGTTGCTCAGATAGAAGGAAAAAGCCTGGATGTCCACACCGTGGCAAGTGTGGACCTCAAATATGGTGTCTGTACCATACTTCTGGGCAACCTCTTTGCTCAGTGACGTTGATGTGAATTGACCAAACCGGACCCTCTGGCCACGCTGTGCCTGGAACCGGACATCATGCACACCCCGGAACAGGTGGTGACACTTTGCTTTCTGGGCGTGCCTCAGTGTCACCAGGGCCTTGGTCAGCAGGAAATGCAGAGTTTTGAAGTGGAAGTTGTTCCGGTATTCCTGGCAGGAGTGCCCGGCCACACGAACGGCTGTGTTGAAATCCTTGTAAATGTCCTTGATCGTGTAGGCCATGAGAGCAACGGCCTGGGCTGGGGACGCCAGAGGGGACACATGGAAGCCCCGCTTGCGCCATTCAGCCTCAGCCTTCGCCCAGGTTTGGGTGAAGAGAGGATTCACCTGGAACTCAAAGTTGTAGAGGACTGGCAACACAGCCTTCACGGCAGGGCCACAGCCCCTGTACTGGTCATCGAAGGAGTCCCTGGCCATGTCCAGGGGAACCACCTTGATGGCCGTGATGGCCAAGGTCATTGTCAGCAGTGCCAGGGTGCGAGCCAGGAGGGCCATGGTGGGGAGGAGCCTCCAGGAAAAGCCAAGGGACTGGTGTGGGACACTGGGGGACAAAAGGGGACACACTGAGGGGACAGTTAGGGCACATAGGGGTACATAGGAAGACTCCCTCTGTGAAGTGAGTGGAGAGTGGTGGGGGGGCAGGGGCGTCAGCCCAGGGGACTGGGGGCAGCTCTGGTTAGAAGACCTGGAATGCTGATTGGAAAACCTGGGGTCATTCCAGGACTCCCCAGTGTCCCTCAGACCCCCAGGACAATAATCTCACTCCCACGGTCTCATAACCTCAACCCTTAGTGGCCTCCAAGCTCCCAAGGACCATGATTAAAATTCTGGGATCACTCCCTGACCCCCCAGCAGTGTGCCCCATGATCCCAGTCCAACTCCAACAATGTCCCTCCTGGACCCCACTGCTGTGTCCCCCCAATGTAATCCTTATGCCCACAAGCCCCACAGCTCCACACCAGTCCCTCTATATTTCCCCAAACCAAACCCTGGGGACAATCCCTGACCTTCCCAGTGTCCCCTCAGTGCCCCACCAGCCCCTCCTCACAATACCAGTCCTGTGTTTACCCTTCCATTGTCCCCCCCCAGTGTCCCCCCAGAACTCAATCCTGCTCCCAATCCTCTGCAACCCTCTTGTGACAGTGGGTTATTTACAAACTCCAACTAAATCCCTAAAACCAGTCCCACACCCCCCACTGTCCTCCTCTGCCCTCTCCCAGACCCCAGTTCCACTCCCAGTCCCTCGACCCTGTTGGTGTCACCCCAGTACTCTTACCCAAATCCAGAGGTCACTCCCTGCCCCCATAACATCCCCCTGGAACCCCCATGGCCCCACTCCACAATCCCAGTCCCATCTCCCCCCCTAAGTACAACCCCATTGTCCCCCTGCCCCTGATACAAAAATTGGCCTGGAGTGAACTCCCTGTTGGAACTGGAGATATCAGAAACCAGAATTCTTGATCAGCTCAGGCTCACAACAGACCTCTCCTGGTCCTGCAGCTCAGGCGGGACTTTGCCATGGGGTATTTATCCACCACGATTATAAATATTCATTAGAAGGGGCTTCTTATCTAATGTGGATGCATCACTTTCTCGGGAAATAATTTGCATGCTTCTGCCTCTTTCTGGGAGTCCTATTATGGTACTGGAGGGTCACCCAGAGGTGTTTCTGGGTGTGGTTTTCACTGATTGTCCCAATATGCCAGATGACCTTTCCTGCAACTTCTGCTTTTTGCAAACGCTGCTCCTTCTGTGGTCAACTTGCAAAAGACCCTCACTGGAGTTCCTTTATCTGTTTCTCCATGGACTCCATCCATGTTCATCCTCCGTATCCACACTTCTTCCCATTCATTTTAAGCTCAATCCTACATCTTTAAGGGATCTGAAACTTTCTATTCTCTCTCTTATTGCTCAACCCATATGACCCCAATCCCACAGTCCCATGTCCCCCCAGTTCCACCCAGTCCCCACCATTCACTGAGTTGCAATCACATCTCAGATACCAAATGGGGCTCCCTATCAGATGACATCCCTGTAGGCACCTTGAGCCTGGGAATGATCTCTTGAGGGGGTGCCTGGGTAAATTCCCTGCCTTGTGGAGAAGTTCTGGACCGCCCAAGACGGGATCCACCAACACCAGGAGATATCTGAGCCCTTGTTGGCATGGTAGCTCAGAAAAGCCATTTGCCAATAATCCCCAGGTGTGTTTCCTCGTTCAGTGATGCCTGGAGATGATGGTTTTGAATTCAAAGAGTTCTTTTCAAAACATATCAGGCATTGCTCTGTAACAGACCTGACAATTTTGTCCTACAGACACTGAGGATCTGAGGCCGCAGACCAGTCCTCGTGGCATCAATTCCCCAGAGATTTGCTGGCACTTTTCTCCTTTACAAATTGCAGCATCAGTTGGGGAAGGCCTGACCTGGTTGTTGGGAGTTACCTCTCACCCACCCACCCAGTCACCCTCTTTCTTGTGGGCTTTTAGATAAGCAGCCAAATTTCAATCTGCCCAACTCTATCCTGGCCTCACCTCTGGCGGTGAAATTCCTTTCTCAGGAATTAACACCAGGATGCTTTGTTGCAGAACCTCTCACGCAGCTTTAATGCAAGTCTATTTCCCACAGGGATTTTTCAACCCCCAAGCTGGTGTGCCCCGGACTGGAGTACGACCACTTCTTTGGGCAGCTGGGCAGTATCAAGGAGGGACCATAATTCTTGTTTATATTTAATTGGAGATCCCTCTACTGTTAATTGATGTTTTTCTTTGCATAGGGCTCCATGGGCATGAGCAACGCTCAAAGTAGATGGCAAGTGACCTCCTACATTTGCATGGGACTGTGGGAGTGGGACTGGGGATCTGGGCTGTGAGTAATAAGAGAGAGAAAGAAAGTGTCAGATCCCTTAATGGTGCGGGAGAGAGCTTATTGGTGAATGGGCAAAAACATGAAAAGGAGGTACAAGTATGGATACTCAGGATGAACGTGAATGAATCCATGGAGAAACAGATAAAGGAACTCCAGTGAGGGTCTTTTGCAAGTTCTGGAGCACAGAAGGGCAATGCCTGCAAAAAGCAGAAGTTGCAGGAAAGGTCATCTGGCATATTGGGGCACTCAGTGAAAACCACACTTAGAAACACCTTTGGGTCACCCCCCAGTACCATAAAAGGACTTCCAGAAAGAGACAGAAGCATGCAAATTATTTCCAGAGAAAGTGATGTAACTGCATTAGCTAAGAAGCCCCTTTAATGAATATTTATAATTGTGGTAGATAATTACCCCAATGCAAAGTCCCCCCTGAGCTGCAGGACCAGGAGAGATCTGTTGTGAGTCTGAGCTGATCAAGAATTCTGGCTTTCTGATACCTCCATTTCCATCAGGGAGATCACTATGACCGATTTCGGTATCAGGGGCTGGGGGACACTGGGGACACTTGTGCAAGGGACATGGGCCTGGGATTGTGGAGTGGGACTACAGCGGGCTGCAGGGAGATGTTGTGGAGGTAGGGAATGACCCCCAGATTTGGTTTGGAGACCTGGAGTGACATGAAATGGGTAATGGGACTGGGAGCAGGTTTTGGGTCTGGGAGATGGACCTGTGGGACACTGGAGCTGGTGAGGGAGTGGCTTTAGGAATTTGGGTGAAATCCCAGAGTGGTCTGGGGTCACAAGAGAGTTGCAGAGAATTGTGGCCAGGCTTGAGTTCCTGGGGAGCAGTGGGGGGACAATGGAAGGGTAAATACAGGGTCTGGGTTGGCACAGAGTAGCTGGTGGGGCGCTGAAGGGAAAATTGGGGAGGTCAGGGACTGTTCCCAGGGTTTGGGCTGGGGTGGCACTAGGGGGGGAAAGGACAAGGGACTGGGAGTAGAGTTGTGGAGCTAGTGGGCACAGGTACAACACTGGGAGGGGGTCAAAGCAGTGGGGTCCAGGGGGGGCATTTTTGGAGTGGGATTTGGGTCCTGGGAGGCGCTGCTGGGTGGACAGGGAGTGACCCCAGAATTGGAAATAAGTTCCTAGGGTTCTAGGAGGACACTAAATGTTGAGGACATGGGACCATGGGATAGGAGTGGTGTTCTGATGGGAGTCCAGAAATGACCCCAGAGTCCTGGGCTTAGCATCTCAGGATGTTTCCAGGGGTCTTGTAGCGAAAGCTGCCTCTCCACCCCATGGCTGGCCCCAGTTCCCCTCCTCAGCCCCTCACAGACAAACTTTTCCCATGTGTTACTTTGTTTCTAAGTGTTCCCTCAATGTGTCCCTTTTTGTCCCCCAATGTCCCACACTGCTCGTGGTGGCCCTTCCTTGCCATGGCCCTCCTGACTCACACCTTGGCACTGCTGGCAGTGACTATGGCCACCATGGCCATCAAGGTGGTGCCCCTGGACATGGCATGGGACTCCTTCGATGACCCGTATGAGGGCTGTGGCCCTGCCATGAACGCAAAGTTGCCGTCCCTCTACAACTCTGAGTCCCAGAAGAATCCTCCCTTTGCCCGGGGCTGGTATCATGCAGATGCTGAGTGGCGAAGGCAGGGCTCTCCTGTGTCCCCTCTGACATCCCACTGGCAGGCCGTGGCTCTCATGGCCTACACGTGAGCAGCACGTGTACAGGGACTTCAATGCAGCTGTGCTCACGGCTGGGCGCTCCCGCCAGGAATACAGGAACAACTTCCACTTCAAAACGCTGCATTTCCTACTGACCCAGGCCCTGGTGACACTGAGGCAAGCTCAGTACAGGCAGTGTCACCATGTGTTCCGGGGTGTACGTGACGTTCGTTTCAAGGCACAGCGTGGCCAGAGTGTCCGGTTTGGTCAATTCACATCGACGTCTCCATGTAAAGAGATTGCTCTGCACTTTGGGACAGACACAATTTTCGAAGTGCACACGTGCCATGGCGTGGACATCCAGCAGTTTTCCATATATCCAGGGGAGGAGGAGGTGCTGATCCCACCCTTTGAGATCTTCGAAGTCACCAAAGTCACCCAGAATGGGAAGAGGACATGGATCAGTCTCCGTTCTGCTGGGACTTTCAGCAAATACAACTGCGAGTGGCACTGAGGTGACAGCACAGGGGACAGTCTGGGGCGATGGGGACACCTGCTGTGGCCCTGGGGACACCCATGATATGTCACGGGGGGGGGGTTTGGGGACAGGGACAGGGGCATTTACTGTGTGTAGGCATGACAAGGACACCCACGGCTGTGGAGACCCAATATGGGGACGGGGTACCCACGTGATAGGGCACAGGGGGTGAGGACACTCCCTGCCACCTGTGGGGACACTCACTGAGAGTTTGGGTTCAGGGACATCCAGCGGTGGGAGACCAGGTCTGGGGACACCAATTGTGGGGATGGGAGCAAGAATGTCCATGACAGGGCACAGGGAGGGGGGATCCCCACATCTGGGAGGGGACAGGGAAGGGAACACCCCTGCCAGGGAAGGACAGAGACTTGGCCCTGCCTGTACCGACCCTGTCCCTCCCCATCAAATACAGTGCTGTGAG